AAATGAAAGGCAGCAGAGAGAAGAAAAAATCTTATAATATCCGCCCCTTTTTCCTCGAGTATAAATTCAAACAATAATTATCTTCAGATAGAAAAACAAAACATCAAATCTTTCTAGAACAAGTTGAATTGTTACACATTAAAATGTTTCATTTTTTTTAACAATCTAATCTTTACCATTCTCTTAAACACGTACATTGATTTGGCATTTTTTTAAATCCTCTTCCAGATTATTCCACAATCTAAAGTTCAAGTTCAAGTTTATTTCTACAGCTCCAAGTCACAACATACGTTGTCTCAGGACACTGTACATAAAAAGAACAATGTAAAGAAGAAAGCAGCAGATTGTGTTGAATCACTTCATCACAGTCTCCCATCCTGAGCAAACGGTGGAGAGGAAAAACTCCCTGCTAATCAGGAAGAAACCTCCAGCAGAACCAGGCTCAATCTGACTCCTTGGATTGAGGTGCACCGTTCTTTCAAACAGGTCCTAAATTTAGGTTTCATGAACATCTCTATCCCCTTAACAGCTCTCTGTCTTCACAAAAATCTTCTGGATGTTTAAAGGTAGTGTGTTTTGGTGAGTCTTATACACAACTATCAAAATGTTATAATCAACCAGATCATAGAATTTCAATAATTTCAGTTTACACTCAGTACACTCCATGGATAATTGATGCTAATTGGTTCTTGGTCTGGTTGTGGGTCTGCAGTGATTTATCTAGCAGGAGGGGGACGGTGACCAGATGGCAGCAGCCTGCTTATTCACGGTTGTGAATGTGGAGTTGTGTGTCTTTGAAACACAACCTCGCAGCTCGCTGATCTGATTTGAGGCTGTGTTTGTGCGCTACTTTCTTGCGTGACAGGTGAAGTCTGGTCCCGTCTTGTTTTTCCGCTGCGTGTCTGGGCCTGCTGTGTGTGTAGAGTTTATTAGCGTTTAATGGGGGTGAGGTTGAACTTGTGTACTTGTGATGCCCCAAACTGCTCTTTGACTGGGAACAGCCTTGTTTTTGTTTTGGACCTGGCAGCACATGGGTGTGT